CACATCATGTACGGTGATTTAGTTTCAGCAAAATTAGCATTATCCTGCATATTAAATTCATGTTGTGAATTGGAATTATATTGGTTTTGTGATTGTCTTTGTACTTAATGTGCAGATTTGTTTTGGTTTAATGGTATCATAAAAACTGTAATTGTTTTATATTTGTACATTAAGTGAACACTAAATGTCTTTGAGATTTTTTTTTTCCTTTAAAGGCATCTGTACATTATACAAGCCTTTGAAAGACTAAAATAGGAATTAATCAGTTTTGATGATATGGTTGAGGATGGACATCTAGGAACAGGTCTTAATTTCTCAAAGTGCTTGTGGAAATCTATTTTTAATAAAATAAGGATGGTATAGGTTCTGACTGGGCTATGAAATTTTAGCATGCTTTCAAGAGACTGAAATTTAAAGATCTCCGTATTCATAGAAATACAAAAGGATATATTGACAAACCCTAAAGGCTAAAATATATAATACTTTTGTTTATTTACATAACTGAAACTTCTGTTTCTNTGGGGGAGACAGACATTAATTAAAATAAAAAATCATGGAGATGTGAAAATACAGCTGCTGTGAGGAGCGGTGCTGGAAGAGGGTATAGGGAGGTGCTGCTGGGTATTTGGTGGGCCTCTGGGTTGGAGCTGTGTTGTTGGGTGGCAGATACTCTCGTCAGCTGGGTGGCTTGGGGCTTGGGCAGCACTGGGTTCAGATCAGGGCAGGAGTGGTGGTAGCTTGGGCCCCAGCAGGTGACAGTTCAAGGTGTTTGAGATATCAGGGACACTTACTACAGACACAAGCATTTATAAGAGGAGCTGCGGGGAAGAGCATTACTGGGGAGGAAAGACTTCCTGCTTTTCAGTCAGGGTGCTGTGTCACAGGGGGTGCTTATTAGGAATGTTTTAAGTGGGGCTTTAACTTGGCTGCTTCTTATATTCAGCCCAAATAACGCCTCGTCCATGCTTCCTGTCACTGGCTTCCTCTGGCCAAGCAAGGTTAATTAATATCTTTCTCTGGGTAATTGGTTAATTAATATCTTTCTCCCTGCAATTGCCTCCATCTCATCTCTTATTTTTCACTCGTCCTTTCTTGCTCTCATCTCTTTCTATTTCTCCCCCTTTTTTCCCTTTCTGTTTGGTTTCTCCTGTTCTGCTCTACAACTAATTCAGTTCTATTCATCCAATTAATGTTTCTCTCTTGGAGAAGCATTTTCTGTGACTTTGAGATGGAGGAGGAAGGCGGCAGGGTTCTTTCTTATATAAGCAACGTTGATATAATATACAGGTTTTGCTTAATGTTCCCATTTAAACTGTGCTCTGCCGTTAATTTCTCTGGGGCAGGTATATGTCGTCGTTGCCCAGCTTTCTACTTGCTCCTTCTCCCTTCCACAAGATGCAGTTTGCAAGTTTTTTAGTCATTTAGTTCTCCTCTTTGGCTTGTGGGAAACTGCACAGCCTATAAATTATCAGCATGTAGGTCATACTCACACCACCGTGTGCAGGACTCTGAGCTTGGGAACTCACTGGACGTCTCTGCAGGTACCTGTGATGTGAGGCTCCTGGAAGATTGTTTGCTCTGTTCTTCCTG